TTTGCCCCCGAAGGTCGCGTCCAAATGCCCGGAACGGACGTCACAGTGGTGTCCGGCCGGCGCGATCACCGTGCTGTGACGCTCAGGGAAGCCTGATGAGGTACTGGTTTCTTTGCCCAGGGCTGGCCTACGGCCCGTGCTGGATCAGCTGAGCAAGGTTTGGGGAGAATCCCCCATTTAGATCTTCAGATATTTTGACGGATGACCGAAAATGGGCAAAAACGGGGTGATGAGCTCTGATAATTGGCGTAAACTCTAAAGAGTAGAGAGAGAGCGCGCGCCGCGCGCGGCGGGGCCCCGCTACGGGCTATACGCGCTAGCGGCAAGACGGTAGCCACCCGCCACGCGCGCATCGCTTTGTCCGGGCCGCCCCCAGCTGCCTCCCCCATATCCCAACCGCCGGGCGGCAGCTGCCGCGCGCAACAACGACCCGGGGGCGGTGCCGATGTAGCTACCTCCCGCCCGCCGCTGTGCCGCCCGCGGCCCGCCGGCGCCGCGCCCCTACGCGCCGTCGAGGTAGGCGCGGAAGCCGCCCTTCTCGAGCTTGTCTGCCTTGCCGTGCGAGCACCTCCGCCTCCTGCGACTCCATGTAGGCCGCCATCTTGCGGCGCAGCGTCGGGTCGGCCAGAAGAGAGTGATGACAACGAAAAAGAACTCTCTCCGGCGGCGCAGGGCCGACCGCTCAGCCGCACCGAGCGTCCGGACGGCGAGGAGGCCGGCGTTGGCGGCGTTGTGGATCGCGACGGTCGCAACCGGCACGCCGCGCGGCATCTGCACGATCGAGAGGAGCGAGTCGTTGCCGGACAGCGCCAGGGCCGCAGCGAGCGCTCCGTCCACAACTCGGCTCCAAGGAATAGCGAGACTAATTAGAGGGATGTGGACGCGTGCTCGCGCGGTCGTGCTCCGCTTGAAACAATTCTTGTTCAGTCTTCAGAGGGCACACCCTTCGTCACATACTCACAAATCACAATCGACAATTTGATTCAGTTTCATGGCCCACTCTCGTTCGGTCCGATCGACCTCGACGCGCAAATCCAAATGGTCTGTCACGCGAAGCTCACCACGTGCTCGAAGAGCTCCCGCGGGAGGCGGCAGAGCACATGGCTGCTCGGCCCGTGCTGGCGGACCAAGAAGAAGCAGCGCCGCTGCTGCCAGCGGCGGCGCCGCAAGCCCGCGTCGAGCAGGGCCGGTGTGGCTTTCGGCGCGTCGAGCCTCGCCGCAACCTCTGCCTCGCTGGCCGGCAGCCTGCACAGGTGCAGCGCCGCCGCGAGTTGTGCCGGCTTGGAGACGCGCGCAGACTTGGTCAGGGCGAGCAGGGCGAGCATGCACTCGTTGACCAGCTGCTGCGATGAGTGCGGCATCGCGATCCGCAGATCGTCGCCGACGATGCCCTCGAGCGCGCCCTCGCCCCGTTCGGCCGCGATTTGACGGAGGGCTGCGAGCAGCTCCTGCCGCTGAGCGGCACTTCCTTCGAGCAGCACCTGTCCGGCCGCGCTCGGCCCGTCGTCCTCGAAGCGGTGCTTCTGCGGC